ATATCGAAACTTTATCGGATACTGATGTATTTGATGGATTATATTTATTGTTGAAAGAAGCGTTTGAAAGTCATGATAACGTTACGAAACCAATAAGAATGTTAAGGTAATTTGTCACTGGAACTCAATAAAGGAAAAATAATTAGATCTGATTATTATTTTTTTACACTTTTAGGTCTAAATGGTATACCAATGAACATTTTCGAGGCTCATACAGTTTTCATAGCATGCTTTCTGAGGAAATGAATGTAACATCGAGAGATCTGGCAGAGCCGATTATGACTGGAAATAAACCTGTATGTATTCTCAAAATAAAAATATTATAAGTAAAATGATAAAAATAAACATTATTATTTATAATTATTATGCAAATTATTGTTTATAACATTATATTATTTTATAACATTATATTATTATAATATTAAAATTTTTTTATTTTTAGCTTTAGTTCAGTTACTTATTTTTAATAGTTTAATAGTTTAATAGTTACTTATTTTTAATTTATGTCATTTACTACTGAATTGTATTACAAAAGAAATTCTATTGACATTGATGAAATGAATCTTAATGATTAGGTAATTCTTTTCGCTGGAGAAGCCACGCATGATCATTATTATTCTACTGTACATGGCGGCGTGGAAACTGGTTTCCGCGAAGCTGATAGACTAATCGATTTTGAAAGGTAAAATAATTTTAATAAAACTCATTTTTCAAGTTATTTTTCAAATTATAAATTTAAAATTTTTTCCAACTTAATAATTTAATTAAGATTGAAAAAGGAAGTAATTCCTTAAATAAAACTTAATTTATTAACATATGCAATTCTGTGTAATGCATAATACATTGTAGATTAATAATTCGTTTCATTTATTTTTGCTGTTGTTTACCATTTCGTTTTGCATTATATTATATTAATAATTATTATGATATGTCCAATGTCCAACTTAATATGTACACAGAGAGAACTTTTTCTTAGAATTTACTCTGAAAATATTATATGACAATCGTGGGACAAGATTGTATTTCGAAGAATTTTAATCTCTCTCATTCATTAATAAAACTACAATAAAGTACAAAATAAGTTTGATTAATTTTATTAAAGTGCATGATAAAAGTGTTTAAAATATTGTATTGTACCACAACTACCATATTTTTAGGCTAAAAATTTTAAAAGAAAATTCTCTCCGTGTATTATTCGATTCTATAGTTGAATCATATATATTTCATTTTGTTATATTTCATTCAATGAAGTTTAATAAAAGTAAAGGATTCACAGCTTATTTATTGTTACTTTTAAACATATCGGCTCAAAATTTGCACAAATTTAATCATATTTATATCTGATTGCATGCTTTTTCTTAGGCAGTTAGACTCTCATCTCTAACTACATCTTCTATATATGACTATCGCTCTTCTAACAAATGGATTACGGAAAACTAGAAATATGCATATTTGCATATTTATAATATTCATAGACAAATATATTTAAAGCATAAGCAACTACACTACTTGTTGTAAACATTGAATAAAAATGCATTGTACATTATGATAATGTAAATTTTAATATACTTTGTATGTAAACTGATGTAAAATGCAGAAAAATATATAATTAACACGAAATATATAATATTAACATTAAGAGAAATAATATTTATATTTGTTATTATTTATTTATTGTGTATATTATTTATATATTATAGTTATATATTGTTCATGTTTCTTTCAGTACACTATTATTAAATCGAGAATATGCTTAAATAAAATTTATTTATATATACAGGGTGTCTGGAAATAATCGCCAAATATTTTATGGGCAGGTAGAGCGGACTAAACTTAGTCGAAAAGTTCTCTACCATTTTGTAAGTTTCCCCAATAGTTAACAAGATATTAATCCTTAAAAATAGCCGAATACTACTGCGAAGTGTATACGCCTATCGATCGCTTGGCGCGCGGACCGTGGAGAACGGGGAGCCTAGCAAGCGCGCTGTCCGAGCTATAGAGACTTGCGGCGGCGCGGGGCGCGCTTGCCAGCCAATCCCCAACTCCCAAGGCCAATATATAATAGTAGGCCAATATATAATAGTAGGCCGGGCGAGCGCGCATATTCGGCTATCTTTAAGGATTAATATCTCATTAACTATTGGGGAAATTCACAAAATGGTAGAGGACTTTTCGACTCAGTCGGCTCTACCTGCCCATGAAATATTTGACGATTATTTCCAGACATCCTGTATATGTATTTATATTTCGTCACCCTATTTGAAATAACTTATTATTTATATAATGAAATTACAGTTAGAATTATCTTTCTCAGTAACTGTAACAATCTTCATTTCTTTTTTCCACTTATATCTCTGTATATCTTACATTTTTTTGCAATTTGTAACTATATAAATTAATAGTTACTTAATTCATGATATTTAGTAATGAATGCAAATGAAGTTATTTTAATGTATTTATTTTTCTATGATTAAATTTTTTTTACATCATACAATTATATATTTACATTAAAGTATAAAAATGTTTATTTTAAGTATAAAAATGATTATTTTCAGTTTTCAGTTTTAAAATTTATTTTGGTTTAATTCAATATAATTTTATTTTTTTCAAGGTGTATAAATTTGAAAATAATTATATCATATTTTGTCAGTTGTATATTACATTTTATTTAGTGTGATCGGATTATACATATGTACAGTACAATATATTAGTAAATGAAAACAAATAAACTTACCACATAATACAGAATTAAGATAGAATAAAACATCTTCTTCATGTCCCATACAGCACAGAAACTAGTAACATTACTGCAACATTTCATCGTTGCATATTGTAATACAATGTTACAGAGACATTGCGAAGATTTCTTTTTGCAATATTACTTCAGCAATGTTGCAGCAATATTTAAAAAATATTTATAGTAAAAGAAAAATTGATACAAGGATCATTCTTGTTCAATAAACAGTAAGAAACAAAGATGGAATGACTTTTGTATCGATTTGTGCCTCTTTAGTTAGAAAGCTCACTTTGAATGTATGTTGTAATATTGCTGTAATATTGCAACAATATTTCGCAATATTTTTGCAATGTTGCAATCTTGCAATGAAATATTTCTGTAATTTTTCTGTACTGTACGAAATATTACATGGGAAAAGATCTATATTTAAATCGTTATATTTCGGAAAAATCATAACGAAACAAAACAAGATAAATTAAAAAGTTGAAAGTTGATAATTTAGTGTGGCATTAATAAAAATTCGATAAAAACTTCGTCAATGCTGCAATGTTAGGAAAACGCTCAAAGTAATATGTAATGTTACACAAGTCACAGTATTTGAGATGCAGAAGTAGGAAAGGTTTGAACATTGCATAATGTAGTTTCAGAAATAGTAAATTCAATCGTCAACAAATGTACTTGCTTCATACATAAGGGTGTAAATTAATCTTATCTAAGGCGATCAAAAATTTCATTAAAGATAAATCGTCATATGAATTAGATAATTTTATATATTCTGCCAAATTTGCATCGGAAAGACTCTTCACAATATGATTCATTGAAATATATATATATATATATATAT